TATCATTGTCATCATTTTTAACTGCCAAGGTTGTCAGTGTTGTTGACTACCGATGTCTGCTATTGTTGTCAGCTATTGTTGTCTGCGTTTTTGCTGTTATTGTTGGCTACCGATGATGGGTGCATTAGTTAATGGGTGTTGGCTATCGATAGGGAATGATAGGTGAATTGGTGGTGGTGGTGGTGCATGATGTGTAGTGGTGGTGGTGGTGGTGGTGGTGGTGGGGTGCGGTATGCAAGACGCTACCCTACAATCATTCTATTGAAAGCATTAGTGGTGCGTGGACCTAAACTAGCGCTAGTTGCTGCTGCTCAGCTACATCAGGGAGTAGGCTTACGAATCTATGAGGCGGTTCTCTAGAGCTAAGATATGCGTGTCTACATTTAGAGTAAGACGCGTTTTTTTAAAGTAAATAGCGATTTGACTTATAAAAACGACAAGTAATTTTTTTCCATTCATATTTTTTTTTATTTCGAATGACCATACTTTACTTTTATCCATTATTCTATTTTCTCATAATATTGAGGCATTTATCTAATCTTGGGACCTGCTTCTGTTATGTTACATCATTCATAATGTTTTCACCATACATGTCAATGATTTGGTGATGAATGTAAACTGAGTTACAGCTTTTAGCGCAGAGAAACGTAAGCACTTGGCAGTCGCTGGGATTCTCAATAGAGGCATTATAAAATCACGGCAACAGATGCACCCTCGAGCGGATTAGGCATATAATCTATTCTGTTATCAAGGCTATAATTTATTCTGGTATCAGGGCTATAATTTCTTCTGTTATCAGGGCTGTACTCTATTCTTTTATCAGGGCTATAATCTATTTTGTTATCAGGGCTATAATCTATCTTGTTGTTAGGGCTGTACTCTATTTTGTTATTATTGCTATACTCTAATCTGTTACCAGGGCTATACTCTAATCTGTTATAAGGGCTATACTCTAATCTGTTATCATTGCAATACTCTAATCTGTTATCAGGGCTAAACTATATTCTGTTATCAGAGCTATACTCTAATCGGTTATCATTGCTATACTCTAATCTGTTGTCATTGCTATGTTCTAATATGTTATCGGGGTTAAACTCTATTCTGCTATCAGGGCTATACTCTAATCTGTTATCATTGCTATACTCTAATCAGTTATCAGGGCTAAACTTGTAAGGATTTTACATAGTCTAGTTTTGAATTTTAAAAGTTTATTTAATTAATGAAAACAGAACAAGGAACTTTGGGAGGAAGCAGCAACGGCGCATCCACATATAGTTGAGATTTTGTATCCTGGATACGCGCCCCAACAGCCCCTATATACAATTTCCCGACACGATAAGTATCCTGGATACGCGCTCCAACAGCCCCTATATACAATATCCCGATACGATAAGTATCCTGGATACGTGAGTCAACAGCCTGTATAAAAACCCATGTACACAAAAAATCACCAATTCTAGATTGAACAAATATTCTAGTTCAATAGCCGGGCTATCCCAGCATTATAGCAGGTTTATCGCTCTCTTTCTGTGCTATCACCGGCCACTCGAAGGCCGACCTAATATCTTCCTTAATTTAATAATTATTTCCATCACCTCAACAATTAAAACAAATCCCATAGGGACACGTGCATAGGATATAATGGCCGTATTCCTGACAATAATTATCGGATATTTTGTCCGCTTATATTTCCGACTAATATTGGAAATTATGGCCATGTAAATGACGGCGTATATAATATATTACGGCCGTATTTTCGGCGGCCAACATTCGTCCTTGCCTCAAGTTTGGGTGGCTGGAAAGCGTGGCACGGCGGCCACTTCCTCGCTATTTACGGCCACCGCGGCGGCAGCGGCTGATGGACGCGCGATACGCGGGACCTTGACGCGCATACGCTGCGTACTGTGACAGGGAAGCGTATCATGAGCGTAAACGCAACTGGGAGAGCGTATCATGACAGGAAGAGCGCATATGCTACTGGGAAAGCGTATACGTTCTGTAGCTATAGACATGGTTGACAGCAACTATGTACGCACTATGCAACAGTTATACGCACTTCTGTGTACGTATTCTTCCATAAATTACACGTAAATGCGTATGAAAATGATGCGTGAACTGAAAATGAGATTATAAAAATACAGTGCGTTATTGTACTCGTATTAGTGTTTTGTGTGGAATATGAATAGTAGTTTGTATCAAGGGCTATGAATGTAAATGGCAGTTTGCTTTAAGAGTAAGTAACGATATTGGCAGTTTACATTAAATGGGATTGGTCGTTTATTTTAAGCGATAGTAAAGTGAGAATAGTTAATTTAAATATTGTTTTGACCTTCCAATTAACTAATAACATCAGCTTTTTCCCGCCACAGAAGCCCGTAATATCAACTGTATTATCGCCTAACAACCATACAGGAAAAAAATATTTCATGAATTTCTGAAATTTTCTCAAAAATGTGAAAGAGATATTATAAACACGGGTCACGTTGTTAAGACTATAATACNTCCAATCGTTTCAGGAGAGACAAGTGACTCGACGTCAGATTCTTCCAGGAACAGACCTGCCATCAGTTCCGACAGCAACACACTTGAAGACTATCATTTCCCAGGGTTGGAACACACGCCAGAAATGAAACAGCTTATAACTCTCAGGAAACAGTTGCACGCCATGAAACTGCAGGTGATTAGATAATTATTTTGATTTTCCTAAGGTGAAACAAGCGAGCACGTTCAGACCTGTCTCTTATACACATCTAGATGTGTATAAGAGACAGGTATTGATTTCCAAATACAATTGGAATTATATAGGCTGATATGTGACCCACGTAATTATGAATTACTACTTCGTGGTAAAAAATATGCGCGTCATAAAAATATATTGACGTGTAATTCATGTTATTAGATGTATAGTCATTGCAGAATTGTCTGTTAAATATCGAAATAATTTGAATAATATGGTGAACATAAATGAAAGATATGTCTGTTGAATATCGAAATAATGTAAATAATATATTGAATATAAATGACAGAATTCTAAGTCTGAAACATTATTTCTTTTATGGTCTATTGTTGGTTGAAATAGATAAAAAAATAATCCCGATAATATCGTAGAAAAACTTAGACACTCAAAACGTTAGGGTGGAATATATTACTAAATCTTTGTGAATCTATATTCTGAAGATAACTGTACATTCTACAAATGTACATAATGTACAGTGAACTGAATATTATGTAATTGTACAACTGTACAGAGCAGAACAATACACAATTGTACAACTGCACAGATCTGAACAATACACAACTGTTCAACTGTACAGAGCTGAACAATACACAATTGTACAACTGTACAGAGCTGAACTATACACAATTGTATAACTGTACAGAGCTAAAC